GTAAAATGAAGTCGTTAGCTCGAAGCTACGCATACTGGTCATCAATAGACCATGATATAGAGCAAAAGTGTCGCAGTCGTTCGTCCTGTTTAGAGGCCGCAAAGAACCCAAATAAAGCTGAATCGCAACCATGGCCAAAACCAGACGGTCCCTGGCAAAGAATACACGCTGATTTTGCCGGCCCAATACAAGGCAGAAATTATTTAGTTGTTGTCGACGCCTTCACGAAATGGCCAGAAGTATACGACATGCAGAAAATGACGTCAGAGAGTACTATAAGAAAATTGACAGGTTTGTTCGCTTGTTTTGGGGTTCCCGAGATCTTAGTGACTGACAACGGCACCCAGTTCATGTCACTGTCTTTAAACGGTTTTGCATTGAAAATGGAATATCACATCTACAGTCTCCCCCGTACCATCCTCAGTCGAATGGCCAAGCAGAAAGATTCGTGGATACTATAAAACGAGCTCTAGTCAAAGGGGGGAGGAGAGACCATTCCAGAACAAGTAATCAGCAAGTTCCTTATGTCTTACAGAGTTACCCCCAATCCGGCAGTACCCGAAGGTAGGTCACCAGCCAAGTGTATGTTCGGAAGGAAAATTCGAACAGTCTTTAGCAGCATGTTGCCACCTAGAAAGACAAGTAAACCCACGAGTGAAAACCATATGGTCACTCGTAGCTTCAAGGTAGGTGAAAGGGTACTCGTTAAATCGTATCAAGGTGAAAGAAGGTGGGAACCAGGTATTATAGAATGTCGAATTGGAAGTGTATTGTATCTAATCCGAAGAAATGTCGGAACTTGTATAAGACACATCAATCAAATTCGAAGGGATGGCAGAACATTGATGCCACAAAGCCGGCTCCCATTTCATTTGCTCATGGATTCATCTCCAAAAAGCACTCAGGCGCGCGAAGGTAGAAAAGATAAAAGACGCAAGAGCGAAGTGACACAACCTTCGAGAATAATGAGTCGCAAGAGAATCACGGTAAATCAATTCCAGGTGGATCCGAGGAAAAGGTCTTATACAACAGACTTTAAAGGGGGGAGGCGTGAGGATGGTCCACAGGTGAAGTCGAGGAGGTTCTAGGAAGCACAGAAGGAGCCCAACATGTTCCATCCAATCAGCTTTTGGAAGAATATTCCAGAATCGCCACGTGGAGCTTCCCTATCGGACAAAGCTGATGACTCCCTGTCTGCGGATTGGATAACTATAATTATGATTTTGTTTCTACTAAAAACTATAAATACCTGATAATTTTGTACCATATTCGACACTGTCTGGAATAACATTCCTTCTAATTGTCTTCTGTCTTTTCATTTGTGACTTGGGAGGGTTCCAGCGTTCGACTGCTCAAGTATTGTGCGATAGACTAAGAATTCTAAGTTCGAGAAAAAAACACTATGACTGAAAAAACCTCGGCATTAGAAGATTTCGTGATTCTTAGGATGCGGTCGGCAGATGCTGCCAGCTCGTCCACGGCGTCATTTTGAAACGAGACGACAACTGCATGCACCTGTTCAGGAAGTTTGGACAAGAAAGGTTGTTTGAATAGGCCATCACCCGAAGTTCTTTGGCCGATAACGTCTCTCATTTTTAGCAACATATCTGTTGCAGAACCATGTTACAGGTCGATATTATTAAGGATTTGGTCTAACTTTTGTCGACCAGTTAGATCTCTGCATTTAAGAATCGACCGTTTCAGAGTTTCGTAAGGTTCCAAAACATCACTAGTAAGCATACTAGGTGTTACGTACCTGTTGAATTCGAGGGGTAGTGCCTTGACTACCTCGAGGAACTGTGCGCGTGCATCAGTAATGCCGTGCTCTTGGAAGTCGGCTTCTGCGTAGCAGAACCAGGCTTCGATGTTGTCTGGCCAGAAGGGCTATGTTTGAAAGGAAGATGGGGATATAGTCTTTAACTAAGGTACCTTAGGTGTCTGTCCCGTCATGGTGAAATATCAACTACGAGAATGAAGGAGGAAAAAAATTAACCAAAAACCCGAGAGAAAATATCACAGTATATAAAAATCAAAATAAAGCAGTGATTCAGGAAATTCCAGAAAGGAACAGACTAACAGTTTTTAGGTTGTTGTACCAGATCACGTTAGCCTCATTAGTGCCTTGACTACCTCGAGGAACTGTGCGCGTGCATCAGTAATGCCGTGCTCTTGGAAGTCGGCTTCTGCGTAGCAGAACCGAGCTTTGATGTTGTCCGTCCAAGAAGGCATTAGTTGAAACGTGAGTGGTGCAAGATCTCCATCTTAAGGAGCTTGGTAGTTTTATCAGTCTTGGCGAGTTTAAAGTATAGGGATGAACGAGGAATAAATATCCCAAATTACGAAAAGTGTATCACAATACGTAATATAAAATGCAGTATAGCAATGACTAATTAGGTTGCAAAAAGGAACGGACTCACAATTTATCGTTTGGTGTACCAGATCACGTCATTCTCACCACTGAAGATACCACCAGTATTGTAGTTTGACAATTTTTTACCATTATCGCCTTCTATAATCGAATCGTTCCCACCCAGTTAAAATCAGAAGCGAAGAGGTTGGAAGATATATTGGATGCGTTATCAATGTATCGAGAATCGATTGATCTTCTCCGGCTAATGCTCGTTGGAGATGTTTCCCATTCCGTACTGTAACGTGATCTGGTGCGGATACATGACCGAACGCCTTCAGCTAAACAGGTCAACTAAAAATAATGTGGTCAGAATCCAATGTCAAACACTTAAAAAGCTATTGATTTTGGAGAATTATTTACAGCTACAATATAACGGCAAGGACACCCACATGTCACAATTTATCGACCGTCCAGATTACATTTGCCTCCAGGCAAACAGAACATACGCCCTCGACCAAAATTTTCCTTAAATTGATGAGATTGGGAAGTTACGAAGCAACAATCGGTCCAATATGTGCACTACAAGGCAGAGAGAGCTAAATATATGTTCTTCGCAATGATTTTGCTGCAGCAAAAGACCACTTACATATAAGAAAACCCGAGATTCGTTCAACCCAACTGACCCTAAACGATTAAAATACGAAATGACCGCCCCTTGACAGGCCGTTCCATGTCGTTGAAACGGAACACCAGGCGGCTTTGAAAGAATCTCACCTTTCTTTTACTGTGCCATGGTGTTGGTGCAACACTTCACAGACCACATAACTAATTGAAATCACATTTCTTGTGATTAGGGCAATTAAGACTGATCGTCTACCTAGATTATCAAGATAACACTAGTCTATTCTCTACTATAGGTGCGTAATGAATAACCACATTTGTGATGCTCAGGCCTGGTGATTTTATTTGGACATGAAATTTGGGTTGTACCTTTTGCCAGTGTATAAACAAATGGATTGCGATACTGTAAAACTGTATAACGTCTCCAGCACTCGACAAGCTAAAGATAAGTACCGAAAGTATGTAATGAATACAGTTCAGAGGATGACTAGGTAATATGCACTTCTGATTTGCCAAATTTCGATTTGACCCTCCCAAATATATGCTCAGAAATCTGTTTTTTCTCCTTAGTCGTAGAGTACTCCGTAAAAAAGCATTCAACTTTTCACGGGAATCTAGATACCCATCTAAGATGTGGAGGCCGTGGTATCTATACAAACTGACGATTGCTTTGTAAGCTCGCTTATTACAATTATATTACGTCCAGTAGTACACATCTAGTTCTACCTAGTTTGAGTAACACCATCTGAGGTATTCTTAAAGCATTAATTTTAGTGCGTATAATTAAAATAATATCTTAGTCTTGTTTGATTTTTTTCAAAGCTACTTGAAAATTCTTAATTCATGGAGGGGCGCTGTATCGTATTTTAATGACTAAGATCGTCGAGACATACAGAAGCCCATCAGTTAATAAATGATAACAGCAGGAGTAGCGCAAAGATGGGATATTATCGTTATTTAATGGAGAGCACAAACCTAATAACATTATAGTCTACTTACAAGTCGCTCATATAGCCACGTAGTTCAATATCCACATCTGACTCTTATAACCCTTTAGACTGCCGAGTCTCAACATGCCAGAGGACGTTGGAACTTAATACGACGCTCCAACTGGAGTTTACACTTCAGAACTCATCGACCTTTGAAGCATAAATATCTAGCCGTATATTAGTCCCAGTGTAGGATTTGGGTGAAAGTTAAATTATTGTAATGACTGAATGTCTCATATCTACTCAATAAATCAAGATATAGTAAAGTGGGTCTTGATGATTACTTACAGTTGTGTCGATTTGGTGCGATCAATGAAATAACTAAGCTGTGAAACCGTAGTATCATTATTCATGAATAAACTACCTGTATGCTTGGGGAGGACCCCGGAAAATCGATACATCCTAATTACTATATGCTTTTGTAGACTGAATGTCTCTCGGAGTAGGGATTCGTATTCACTCACGACAAAGTCACTGCTAATGACGTTCTGAAAAAAAAACATTTTATTTAAAGGAAATGGTTTGTACTTCCTTGAGACGAGAGGTTCAACGCATGAACTTTGGTTGGCTTAGCCTACTGAAAGTCACATACTTGGAATCATAGATAAGGAAGACTAAATCCAGCAAGTGTATTTTTACAGTGGTGAAAGATCCAACTCTTTAAATGATTATTACTTTCTCTAGAACCGTTATTCATATGCTTTGGAATGAAACTAAACCTGCATAAGACAGTCACAAATAAAATCAAACCTGAGAGTTGGAGTTGAAAGCTAGTAAGTTGTTAATCACGAGCATACAGCCTCATCTTAGTGAGACAGTATGAAACTAATGACATAACAAGCAACATTTTATGAAGATTCCTCCCCTTCTGAATAGCACAATTTGAAAAGCAATGTAACCGCATTATTGCTTTAGCTAAACTACCGCACATTGCATAACGTGTGGAAACCGGACCAATCTATAATTACGCGGACTCGAGCGCTGGAATAAATAAGTCCAGAGGACCCAATAGCAGCTATTTCCAGAGAGGAAGACGCTGATCAATCTAAAATAAAGTCACTGTATTATCAATCTATATGAAAAGCTTGTGTTAAACAAACACCAACTACTAGTACGCTCCTCTAACATTTGAGTCACTTCATAAGATTGGTGGTTAGAATGATAGTAAATAATACATCAAGACAAATCTTAGACTGAGATGTTCAGTTTGTGTTATTAGAATAATTTCATCCCACCCAATCTTTTAGATAAGAGGAAGTAAATAGGAAAATAGAATGAAAGAATAGAACAAGAAAAGAAATTACAAAAGTGAGTAAAGTAACGATAATTAGTATGAACACTGTAGTAATTTACAAAATAGAGAACGGATCATCCTCTGAACGATGGAATGTGATTGCCTAGTCGTTTTTAAGAGAGAACTTGTCGTTTTTGTGCTTGAAATCGACTTCCAAAGCACAAACACGAGGAACCCACCCACGAGTTTCGACAGAATCTGTAAAGAAGTAAAAGAACAGAAAGTGAGAAAGCATTCAACTGTTAACTAAACAGAGTTAAGTTTGAAGTAATAATATAATAATAATTTTTCTGACCCGAATTCTCCATGTACATTAAAAGTGATAAATATTACAATAACAGTTAAACTTTTTCTTTGACCTAGGAGCAACCTAGAAAAATCAAGAAAGATGCTCACTGACCATGATAGTGTTAACAAGCGTTATATTTATAAATGATAAAAGAAAATCATCATATTGATTATGTGCTGCTCCGTGAACCAAATGAGGGAAAATCATGTGTCAAAGTGATTACTATCTAATATATTACCAAATAACTGGCAGAATTTCTAAAGAAAGTAACATATTTACGAATCGGAAACTGAATGTAAATGCTAGCAAATTACCTGAAAAATCACCAAAACTCTCAGAAGGGACCAAATGACCGTAAATCCAGTATCTGGTAAGTGAAACAGTGGAGAATAGTAAATACATCCAGTAAATGAATTCACAAACAAAAATATCTGTTAAATCCATATACAATGGTTGGTATCCAGAACACTATAAAAAATTTTCCACACACAACTTCACACATATACGTAAATTAACAATACATGTAAAATATATTCTGTGACAACAAAACTAAGTAAAAACTAAAGGAGTTCAATGATAGTAAATTTTGATCACAAAGAAATCGAAAAGCAAGCAATTGACATTCAAATGCGAACCGAAATATGAGTCAATAAATACAAATATTGCAAAAGTTGCAAAGTGGCTAGAGCGAATCTTAGAGCCTTTGCACAAATCAGTTGTTAGAATGAGTGTACAAGATGTTTTCGACTTCACTTCCAGAGTGGAAAATATGAATGTTAGCATGAAAAATAGTCTCGATAATTGGTACGTTGGTAAACAAAGATACAACATCAAGTGAGGACATATTTTTCATGCTAACATTCATATTTTCCACTCTGGAAGTGAAGTCGAAAACATCTTGTACACTCATTCTAACAACTGATTTGTGCAAAGGCTCTAAGATTCGCTCTAGCCACTTTGCAACTTTGTGGTAAAGAGAATTTTCCATATCTAGAATTGGGCGCCGAAGGAGATCTGGTCTATAAACTTTAAACAAACCGTACCCTCGTGGTGTATAAGATCCAGTCGGTTTAATAAAATCATGAATCTCTGATGTAGTAATTCCCTTTTTCTTTAGATCCTTAAGAAAATTTGCCAATTGTTTCTCTACTTTTTTATTGATATCATAATTACTGGTAACTTTTTGAAATTTGCTAGGATCACTAAGCATTGCTTCCATTTTTTCGATGTAATCTTTTTTGTTCATCAGAACTACACCTCCTCCATTATCAGGTTTGGTTATAATCAAGGCTTCCTCCTTTCTTAGTCTCCTAATGTTTTTGTGATCACTATTCTAAGTCTATTTACCCACGTTTGACCTCCTATTTCCAATGTTTAACTATTGATAAGACTTTTGTTATCGTGATTTAATATTCTTACTACCATCAGTAAACTTGTCTTCCCACTATCAACTTGTACTTTTACCTATTATGCTTGGTGACGTATTCTATTTCATTGTAATTATTGACTCAAATAGCCTTGATTGGTCTAACATTTTCGTATAAATATTCATGTATATTAGAGTAAAGTCTGATGACGATTTGATTGAAAACAATCGTTCGCTTACATGTGCTGTTCTAATTTTCTTACTGTACTTTTTTCTCGTTTCATGGTCAATTTTTCAAATCATTCATAAATTAACGAAATAGTAATAAAATCTCATTTTGACCCATTATTAGCTACTTATAAAGAGCTTTCGCCCTAGTTACAGTGTTTTAATTTAACTGTTTGACTTATCAATCGACTAGTTATTGTTGTTTCATTCTACCTGTCTTGAACTCTTATTGCATATCTAACGAAATCCCTTGTTAGAAGCTACCTCATCAAAGGATATCCTTGCAATATTTGTATTTATTGACTCATATTTCGGTTCGCATTTGAATGTCAATTGCTTGCTTTTCGATTTCTTTGTGATCAAAATTTACTATCATTGAACTCCTTTAGTTTTTACTTAGTTTTGTTGTCACAGAATATATTTTACATGTATTGTTAATTTACGTATATGTGTGAAGTTGTGTGTGAGGAAGCACACTTATTATTTCAGCAAAAACCAACCAATCGGATGTTAGAAACTTATCAACAAAATACATGAAACCATAACAAACTGCTTTCAGAGAAAATGTAAAGGCAGCTGAACCAAAGGCATAACATCTAAGAACGATGGACGTAGCTTTTAAGCTTATAAGAAAAGGAAACTTCAGAATAATTTTGCTATACGTAGCTTAAATGTGGTGTCCATCAAAGTAACCAAATAACCTGAATAGTATTAAGATGAAGAAGCATTATGTGAGATGAGTGAAGCCACAGAGATGCAAATTAGTTTTTAACAAAACAGTCATTCTATTTAGCAATAAAATCGTAGTACTAGTAAAATCTACTGAATCCGAACATGATGTACATTGATTACGTCACCTGTGTGTTGATATCTGCTTTCACTAAATGGATATCTAGTATTTAAATTAACAACTCACTGGATAAATAAAATCGTATAATCACACATGGTAAAAATAAAGTCAAAACTAGCTTAGAAGTACGAAAAATGTTAGTGGGGAAAACTTAACTTCTTGAAAACTTTGGATAACAGAAAGATAAATCATAATCCCACCTCGAAATAGGATTTTGTGTTTCTTCCTAGCACAAGATTCCTTAGCATTTCGAGTTTACGACTACATAGGCGGTCAGGTCCAACTTTTGGATCACAGTTCATGTCTAACTTCAATCAATTCCCAATAACCTCGAGAGGTGATTCCTGGAATTATATTGATAAGTTGTGACCAGGTAAAGTTTAACTATGTCGGAGAGGATGAGATAAATATAACAACGGTGATGGATGATGGTCGCCCAATATGGCGAAATGATCGAAGTTAGAAATGTAAACCACTGGATCCCAATCCAGTGGTCTAGAGGTCCAGAACTCGTTGAGAGACCTGGAAGTCATGCATTTGATCGTAGATGCTTACAGGACGAAATAGGTGTCTAATGCTTTTTGGTTTTCGATGTCTGTCTAACTAGGATCAGTCTGTGTGGTAATCTATGCAATATTCATTGCACGGATTTAAAATATACAAAAAGAGTGAAATAAATATAACTAAGTTAATGTAGATTTTAGACACTTTAATAATCATATGAAAACTATATAGCAAGATTAGGATTACACTTTCTTGGGTCAACAATACTGAATACTAATTAGATGATTTTATGTTTACAATCTCTCATTCCCATTATCAAAGGACACAAACTGAAAAGTCTACGACTTATCATATATTATTCGTTCATAGGTCAACTTGATATAATTACCCTAGGTTCTTCTCTAAACCACGATCATTACACCACACAACAGAAGTCGATGAGACTATAATTTATGGACGACCTTTGAGCGACGCCAGACTGACCTTGAGTGTCCACCTAATAGCTAGAACTACATGAAGGTTATAAAACTGTGTGAGGAATTATAATTATAATTTAAAGTTGATGGTCAAGATTAGGAATTAGACGTCGGGTTTTCGTCACGAACTGGCATTAGCTATAATGCCAAACTCTATATAGCCAAATGGATGAGTGAATTTCGCGCCAAATCCCGAGACCTGTTATTTTGTATCTGATTGGTTGGTCCATAAATTACAGTCTCGCCCAGAAATCTTATATTTAAGAAGAAATAATAATGTGCACTGAATGGTGTACGTTGAAAAACGACGATTCAATTTCTAGCATATATTGGATTACTATTTTGTCATTCAATAAAACAAACAACTGAACAAACATTATTGAGATAATAAATGGATGCAAACCAGTCTGGAAGTACTAGTTTGTGTTTCAAAAACCAAAAAATGACAAGGCTTTTTGAAGACATTCGGAAAAATTTATGTGTTACCGACAAATCTGTATTACAAAATCTAAGGTGCCCAAAAACTAAATGAAATTGGAATGCTCTTAAAAAAAAATTATCACTTTTAATGCTCTTCTAATGTTCTTCTAATGAAATGATTTTGAGGAACATATGTAATTTCAAAATTAGATTAATCAACTTAAATACGAATTACTAGGGTATTATTTGGTTACAAGTTGAGCCTTTACAGTTAGTTTCTTTCGCTTCAAACAATATCGAATGTCTTTCGCTTACTTTGTTCCTCTTGTCACCATAAGAGCATCACCGACACGTACAGGTATTCTGGGTTCTTCAAAACATGGGGAACGTATCGCAGTTAGACATCCATAACGAAAACACATACACCGACTCCCATCATAATTTCGGGTAATTTTGAATGTGCGCTGAATTTTTTGCTTCAACCTTTTTTGATAGATCTGTTCCAACTGGCAGAATATAAAGAAACTATACAAGTAAAACTAAAGCTGTATGTGATACGAGAGTAATTATGAACCATTATTAGTAAAGATTATTTGACTAGAATTAAATGTTGAAGAAAATCCACAATTCAAATTGGTAACCTTAACTAAAGTAGAGATCTATATGCAACGACTAAGTACTACATAAATGGAGTTTCATACTGAATATCGAAATAGCGTACTTGTCGTTTGAAAATTATAAATGCCGAAAATGTAGCAGTTTAGCTCCTACTGGTTTAATGTATTTAATACTTCAAGTAGATAAAAACATCACAGCACACCTGAATTGAAACAAGAGGCAACTCAAAGGGTAACATACATTTGCATTGTAGTAGTAATTATTGGCCGGTGGACACGGCGAGTCTACCTAGGGGAGATGGAAAACCCTGACTCCAAACCAATGGTGCACATGGGCTCCAGTATCCTGAGAGAACAAATGGCGTATGAACCAATCGTTGGTCACCAATTACCACGGGACTGCATCTCCTCACGATGCTCCACTACCTTGTGGGTTAGACCTTTAGGTCAAAGGCTCGGGGTGTGGCCCCCTAAGAAAACCACCTGCTTCGGTCTGGGCAGCCGAGCAGTATCACAGCCCACAAACAAATAAAATGACGATAATTACTGAAAATACTATTCATGCTCCAACTAAAAGTCAGACAATTGACATTATTATTATTTACCGCGTCACTTTTTCACTCTCTTTTAAACCCAATTTGTGTATCCTTACTTTTCAACTTATGCAGCAGCTCGCCCATGGTGGAAACTCTGTTCTATCTAAACGATCTCCAGTCACTATCTGGTCAAAAGTGAATACTTCCACCGAATACGTATGCTAAACCAGTCGTTCTGAAGCCACATACACCATTCAAACTGGCTTCCTTCAACGTTCGCAAACTAATGCATATCGGACAACATATGGGGCTCTCTATGTCTTTAGTAAGTCTTAATATCGACGTTTGTTGTCTATCCGAGACCCCTATTCAAAGACTCTAGTGAAGTACTACAAATCCGCTCCCCATCTGTCGCTTCAAAAGGTTTCTCTACGTGCGTTTATCCGGGGACCCTGTAGCATCTTCGCCTGGTCCTTCTGGCGTTGGTGTCGCGCTAAGCGCTAGAGCTGAGGCAGCACTAATCGATTGGATCCCCATTAACAGTCGGTTATGTGTTGTTAGATTAGAAAGCTCCATCAAAGTGAGAAGAAACCAGAGTAATCTCTGTTTAGGTGGCCGATGGGGACTTGTTGGTCGCAGGACAGATAACGGAGACCGTTTGCTGCAATTGTGCACAGACTACAACCTGTTCCTGGTTAGCACTAACTTCCGGCACAGCCATCGCCGGTGTACCACCTGGCGTCCTCCCTCTGCAATTCAAGCCTGGACTCAGATTGATCACATCGCGATCAGCCACCGCAGGTGTGGTTGTGTACAAGACTGCCGCTCATTTTGGAGTACCTATCTGGAGTCTGATCATGCCATGGTCTGCGCCAATCTTACCTTACTTTTCAGTGGCCAACGAATTGGTCGTCATAGACAGATTGATGTCGGCAAATTGTTTGCAACTTCTGTTGCAAGTAAGTATCGAGCAGAGCTAGCTTCTAGGCTAGCTACCATCCCACCGAAAAGTATAGATGAGCATTGACTGCAACTTCATGACGCCATGAAAATGGCGATTAAAGTCGTTTACAACTTCGCGAAACGTCCCGCTTACAAGGACTGGGTTTCTAAATGCTCCTTACAACTCACTGAAGCACGTGGATCTACTTCGGGTGACCGCCAGTTTGACTATAAACGAATATTGTTATGTATTGAAAATGTGCAAAGCTTACGTAAAGACCGAGAAGCCTGGTAGTCGGAGTGTGCTAACGAGTTGGAAACAGATACTGGATATGGTAACTGCTGGAAGCTCTTCCAGATCATCCGAGCAACTGGTAGCAAGAAGTCTTGTGTAAGCGAAACAATCTGTGAGGATGACGTGATGCCAATCACTAACATCTATCGACGTCTTGGATGATGGACAGAATTTTTTGAAGGGTAGTTCAACTGGCCTGCTGCTCCGGCAACATAGGTCAGATTGTCCTGCCCTCCGTGGCCGGTGAAGACTGATCCACCAAATGAGGCGGAAGACCCAAGAAACTCCAACTCTTGAATCGCTACAAATCGCCAAGCCCAAATAACTTACGTCTATCCCTCTTTAAAGATGGTGTTGACATTCTGGTTAAGGAATTGACTATGTTGTTAACAAAGGTTTGGGAGCAAAGAAAGTGTTCCAACATCATGGAATGAGTCGATAATCGTCCCTATCTTTAAAAAGGGTTCACGTTGTTCCTGTTCTTGATATCAGGGCTGACTTCGATTCGTTGGACAGGACTGTCCTCTGAGATTGTCTATTGAAGAAGGGTGTGTCTGAGAAGTTTATTAACATCTTAAAGGTCCTGTACACGAACACCTCAGGCAGAGTGAGGGCATACAACCAGTTTTGCTCTATGCTTGTGAAGCCTGGCCTCTCTCTGTGTTCAATCATCGTTGTCTCCGAAGGATTGCTGACATCCAGTGGCAACACCATGTTAGTAATGCAGAGGTTCGGCATCGTGTGTTCGGGTGCAGAGACGATAATTCAATTGGTGTCACCATCTTGAAACACCGACCTCGGTGGCTTGGACATGTTCTACGAATGTCGTCCCAGAGAATTCCACATCGTGCATTATTTGCCGACTCTGGGACTGGTTGTAAAAAGCGGAGAGGAGGTCAGTGTATGACATGGTGTCGTGGTATGAAAGAAAGCTGCAAAGGGCTAACTTCTGTTGGTCCTTTACGACTCCCTGGCTGGGGTCCGAGAGATGGTGCAACACAGTGGCTAGAGACGTTATCAGATATGGCTCAGAATAGAAGCCAGTGGCGATCCTGCTGTAACCTTCTTGTACTTTCTTCATAAAGAGTGGTTCTAACTTTCTTAACTGAAAGAGATCTTCTGGTTGTACATTTTTGTTTCCCCCATTATTACTCTTATTATTACATTGACATACAAGACAACCAGCATAACAGCGATGCTGCCTTCCCACAAGAAGGGGTGGGGTTAGAAAAGGTCGACCCTAAAAATATACACTTCGCCTTATACCACGGATATCCGTCTCCGGTGATAAAGTCCCAACAAATACGGAGCTAACACAAAAATTACAAAAAAAAGTCGTGCGTGACAGACCTCAAGCAGTTGTTCCTTAGGCACTGCGGTCACACTCTCAGGTCACCAAGACCACCTCTAAATAAATTTCCTTTTCAGGTACCAAAAGAACCCTTCCATGGTGTGGGTAACCGGGAAGTGATAACTGCCCTCATACCAATAAAAGCACTCAAGATCACTGTACTTATAATCAATTTCCTTATTGTATTCCTATTATTCCTGACACACCAGTTTTTTTCTAGAACATGATTCCGCGAATCACGACTGTTGTTCTCTGTTCCTCTTTTAAATTAGCGAGCGATTGTAGTGTGTGATGGTGGGCCTATGCTGTCCCGTTAAATGGCTCCATAAAAACTCGGAATGATAGGGACATACGTCGTTTCTCCCACTGACTGCAGCCCGGATGAAGGGAAAGATGACCTTTACAGAAAGCTCTCTGAACTTCTTCATAAAGCTAAGCGCTCAGACATAGTACTCGTTGCAAGTGTTTCTAATGCCTACTTAGCTTAAACCAAACAAAGATATTTAGGTGAGTATTTTAGTATCCCGGCTCAGGGAACAGATAATAGTGATTGCCTGCTGCAACTGTGCTAAGACAATCGTTTATTTTAAGCATAAGGAGATATATCGTCTAACATGATGACCTTCTGGCCTCAAATAGACCATACTGCCATCAGTCATCGCTCGAGGGGCTCGATAGAAGACTCACTCGTTCTGGAATACCTGTTTGGACTCCAATCATGCTCTGATACGAGCACGCATTTGCTTGCGCCTTACTGGACGCAGAGAAACGACACTAAGAAGACCCATTACGGTTGAACTGAGTGACGAGAAAACCAAAAGTAATTTCCAGGATCACCTGAATTCACATTTAGGTAGTTCTGAAAACGAGGCTGATCTTGGAAAGATATACAGACAGCTGTGGAAATAGCAGTGACGTCTATTGGTGATTTAAACTAAAGTGCTACAAAAAACCAATGGATTTCTCCTAAGTCTATTGCACTGATGAATTCCCATAAACTCACCCCTTCAGGCTCTGAACACGATGAAGAGCGAAAGAAAATTAGATCTAGGTTAACCAAAAGTCTACGGAACGATCGTAAGCAGTGGTGGGCAACGAAAGCGAGAGATGGGGAAGGCAGCGACTGTGGGTAACACCAGACAACTCTTCAGATTAGTAAAAGAAACTGGAAATAAGAAGTCAAGCGTAAGTGTGACAATCTCGGAAAAAGAAGAAACCCTTATATGCTCTCAGTCCAGACGTTTGGAACGATGCGCGGAACACTTCAAAGAACAGTTTAGCTGGCCTGTAGCTACTCGACAGTTACCTATCATTCCCAGACAGTTTGAATGGTACATTGAAGTAGGTCCCCCGACTCTAGTTGAAGTTCGAAAAGCTACAGCTAATCTGGAATGAGGAAGAGCAGATGGATTGGCTCCAGAGGTCTTTAAACATGGTGGTCCAATTTTAGCGATTAGGTTGACTAATATTCTGACTAGAATCTGGGAGACGGACGTAATCCCATCTGACTGGTCACAATCTCTGATTGTCCCAATATATAAGAAGGGGCCAAAATCATCCTGTGATAACCATAGAGGGATTAGTCTGACTAACATAGCATCTAAAATACTAGCTTCAATAATTATCGGGCGCCTAACTAAGTCTCGTGAACTGCAAACACAAAAATCAGGCTGGCTTCAGAACTGGTCGTGGCTGTATCGACCACATATCCACTTTTCGTCAGGTTTTGGAACACAGGCATGCTTATTGGCGTCCGACGATGATAGCTTCTCTTGACTTAAGTGCAGCATTCGATTCTGTAGACAGAGAGGTCCTGTGGCAGTACCTGCCATTGAAAGGTGTACCTCAGAAGTACGTAAACTTTGCGAAGGCTCTTTACTTGAACACTACCAGTCAAGTGAGAGCTTATGACGAACTGTCATCTGATTTTACAACCACAATAGGTGTCCGCCAAGGCTGTCCACTATCTCCATCTCTTTTTAATTTCATCACATACCTACCGTTAGAAATAACGTTCTTGTCGACTGAATTTCCAGGCATCCATCTCCTACCAGGAGGTAGACTTATCGACTTAGAATACGCAGATGATATAGTCCTGTTTGGTGAAGACGCTGATAAAACGCAGTCTTTTGGTAGCACTGAGCAACAACGCAAGGATGTTTGGAATACATTTCTCCTCCTCTAAATGCCGGTTATTGCTTCATAACTGACTGGCCTGAGGCAACACCTGAACTAAGGATAGGGAGTGAAGTAGTCCAACGCATCGACAACTTCACTTATCTTGAAGGTCTGATCAGCCCTAATGGGTTGGTGTCTGACGAAATCTCTGCACAGATTCAGAAAGCTCGTTTGGCTTTTGTAAACTTACATCACCTATGGAGAAGGCGAGATATCCATCTATCAATTAAGAGACGAGTATACCGTGCACCAGTTCGTTCTGTTCCACTTTACGACTGCAAAACGTGGCCATTAAGGGTATTTGACCATAGATGTCTCAGAAATATTCCTCGCATCTGCTGGGATCACTGAGTAGGTAATAGTGAGGTTGGACGCAGGGTATTAGGGAATGATGGTAAATCAGTTGGTGGGGTCATGAATCTTCATCGACTGAGATTATTGGGCAACGTATTATGCATGGCCAACCATCAATCACCACGACGCAAAATGCTGACTAGTGTTGGGGATGGTTGCGAGAAAGGGGTGGCCAAACCAAAACGTGGCATCAGTCCTTGAAGTCACTAACTTCTGGTCTGAGCCGTGTCGATATATGCAAACTACTTGGTTGGGGTCCGCGTGACCATCGTAACCAATGATTGGAGAGACTCTGGGTGACATGGCTCATAATCGATCACAACGGAGTAGGTGTATACACTCTGTGTCTTCCCTTAAACTGTGAGATTAAAGTAGCTTTATACCTTTATTTCTACGAACTAATTCTTTCCTGTATTATATCGTTATACACAATCTTTCTTTTATGCATTATCACCATTGAATTAACTACTTCCATGAAATTGGTGTTCATCTTGTTGTGCTAATGAGATGTGGCAACTTGGACCAATGCATATATGTGCCTGGTCCTACGTTGCAGCTGACTGACTGCAGATAGACCAGATGTGGAACACGTGTGAAACAAAACAACGGAATTAAAATGTTGCATAATAATTTATTATAATTATCAGATATATGAATCAGGATGCGGAAGTAAAACAAGAAGAAAACTTACAGTCAAGTCATACTGAGTGCAGCCTTTCACAACAGGCCAGTAGTATCCATCTCCTAAGACTTTACCAGACCACAAAAAAATCTGTTGAAATAAAAATTTGAAATATAATTACGTGCTCAAAATAAACAAATGGTCAAGAAGCAGGACAGAGTCGAATGTAAATCTGGATTATATTTACAAGTGTAGTCCAGACCTGGTATAAAAAACTACTGTTTCTGTTTGATGATGGTTGTAAGTAAAGCATAAACGACATGATAATCAATTAATAAACGCGAAATGTCAATTAGTATCTTATTTTTAAAAATTCATCTTTCATTAAATCATTTCATGTCTATTATTCTAGTTTTTTTGTTTTATTTATGGTACCGAACCCTTCATGTAGAACAAAAAAAGGATGAATTGACATGAAAATGCATTAGTTCACTACTTAAGCACCGTACTTTCTACACTTTTGATAACAATCATATACATTGGTATTAGGAAAGTCATAAATAGATTCATATTGTCTGTTTTTAATTTACTACAAAAAAAAAAACAGTTAACAATCTCAAATTATAAAACATGAGAAATTTTTCATGGATTCACTGATTTACATTTTACGCATTATTAATAAAAAAGTGATGACCTAAAAATAAATAGGGATCAGATCATAATCAGTTTATCATGACAGTGAATTTATGCAACAACGAGATCAAAACTACTTTTCTTCCTATTACATCAAGTATTTGCGAAACAAAATCATATCTGATGAGACAACGTATGCACATAGCAAAAAATGTCTAGCTACATAACAGAAATCAATCACAGGAAAAATCCTCAACCGAAAAAGTTAGAAAAACCTATTTCATCTTCAATCTGCCTGTACCAACCTTGAATAAAAAGTGGATTAGATATATATATGCTAAGAAACAGATGTTCCTTTGAACTTACACCACAAATAAATTGATAAGAAAATGAAAATGATTGTGAGAAAACACACCTTTGAAGTTTAAGTTGCCTGTAAGTGATGTTGGCATGATGCAAGTCTAGTAGGAAAATCAAAGTCAGGTGCACTAAATTACAGTAACACGATAAATCCCTTCACCTTACTGCATTAAAATTTTTTATGGGAACTTCGTGTTAGCGAACAAAATAATTTGCAAAAATAATCAGTTTTAAATCAATTTTGAAACATGTACCAACCTGCTGAAAATTTCCGATCTTTCCAAGGTCATATGGATAGCGAAATGGTTTTTTTTCCCCTACATCTTTTCGCCAAACGTTTGCCTTCAAAAATAATGAGACTAAATAGATTAAAATAGTCACAGTGATGAAACTTCACATTTAGACAAGCCACTGATTCAATCAATCTTTTGGTATTGTGAAAAGTACAATAAGCAGAAATAAGACTAATGTTTGGAAGATATACATTTCGAAATAAGAATTGCAAATGATTAGCATATACTGTAAAAACATTCTTATTGTCTTTACTTCAACCTCATTACCCATTCACTTTCCCAAAGTCGAATTCTTAACAACAGTAAGAACCAAAACAGTATTCGGATTAACTACACTACAGCTTAATGTGAAACATTAAAGTAGTGTATTGATAAGGCCATGACTCAAGTGTTTTGTACATTTGTACGCCTGACTAGTACTCAGCAGTCATATGATTAATATTCACTTTAGTTACTACAATCCATAGCTTAGTTGAACGTCAGAAAAACGCGTCATTAACTGAATCAGATCACGGACGACCACAAACTTAACCTGTAGGGTCTTTCTGAGAGTTATTGGGTTAAGCATCCTTTACAGCTTTGATAGGACCGAACAACTGGTTGAAAGAGCTTATAAAAGTCATTTAAAAAAATCTAAGAAATGAGAATATGGATTGTAGTAAAGGGCATAAACTAGAATGTTGTTAGGGATGCTTGGGCAATCTACAATAACAGTTGTGTAGCTCACATTATTTCTTTTCAAGGAACTTGAACATAGAAACTGGATTGATGCTGATAAGATCGTCGGTTGGCTGACAAAACTGCAGAGTCAAAGAGGGAAATGGTTGGGATCGATCGCTAATTTTTGTTTCTCAGATTGTATTAACTTCATAGTTTCTTAACCCAGCAAAATAAACTAGAAATTCATGGAGCAAATAGGGTATTGGTACTAAGGTCAACCGCTTTTTAACTTTTTATTTGGCAGGGGACAATATTGCTATAAACATTGTTTGGGGGGATATTGTTTTAGTTTTATTTAATAATTTGATTCCCACTTCCCGGACAGTATTCTTTATTGTTAGTCTTGGTATCACTGATACTGTGATTATTCCGACTACACTAATCATCTTGTCAATTTTATCTCGCTGTGCTGATGTGGTGTCCTAAGCTGACTATGAACGAGTTGACTACTATGTGGTACTGTGAGCAGTAAGACCTTACCTCCGAGTTGGGATCCGCTGTTTTTTCCTTGTCACTTTCCAACCAACCATTGCGAGAAGACCTAAAAAACTGTGCATTAGCAATCATAGCCCAATAAGGTTTTTACAACAAGCTAATACCGCCCACCGCTTCAAGGTAACAATTGTAGTTAGGTAAACAGTATCTGGAGTCTAACCGTGTCAGCAAAACGTTATTATTATTTACTTATTATTTTTTCTAATATTCGCTTCACGTTCCAATTATCTGAACACTTCTTATTACGTAATCTTATAATTTCTATGAATGTTATTTCAGTGTCTATATTTTTCTAATCATTGACCTATTTTCCTATTATGTAACATTGATTCAAGCCTTTTATTATTATTCTCACAACTAGTACACCTGTCATTACACTACCAATTTGTACTTTTCACTTATTATTACTTTTAACTATGTAATCTATTCCACTGTTATCATTGACTCATAAACTGCCCTGATTGGTTCAATAATTTCGTATATGCATATAAATATTACTGTATATTAGAGTAAAGCCTGATGAGGATCTAATCGAAAAGAATATTGTTCGCTTATATATGCTGTTCTAAATCACAATATGGGAATTTTTCAAAACGTTATCGGTAAACATAGATTTCCTTAAAAAGGGAATCAAATTATCTTCCCATAAAATCAGGGAAACAGTAAACTTACATAAAATACCTCTCATGAAAGTTTGAAGTTATCTGGTAGATGGATAAACGGAACAGCTACAAATAGTTCATTTCGAAGAGATATATTATGTACGCCTATATGATATATAGTCATCTTAGGAACAGATATGTGACAAACGCAAAACTTGAAGATCAAAATAATTGCTGTCAAGTGTTTAAAAAAATCAACAGAAACTCTAGACTCTGGTTTCGTACTTTCTCAGTTAGAACGCAACTGCATTTGCGGGCACCAAACTGTTATTGGTACGATGCCCAAAAATAGGGGCTAACAATTAGGTCTTAATTGATTGGAGAATGGGTGAACTGAAAAATAGTTCCCTCCAGTCTCTTATGTCATTTTATTCTGCGCTAATATTTAATATATAACCATGCCATTTCATTACACAAAAGAACTATTCTTCTGGTTAGTGGTCATGTTTTTGGACTTAAATCACTCGGCAGATTAAGGCAATTATTTTCGTGAATAACCGTCACTAGTCTACACTTTGTATCGCTGCGAATCAGATAGTGATCAGAATTCTGTCGCCAATTCTAACAATAAAAAGTTCACCTTTTTAATAAAAACCCTTCTCCGTAACAACTAGAAATGTTGAACAGGATTGTATAAACGCGTAGAGAATAAGAACGCATTTCCTTTATGAATCACTTACTTTCGCTACGATCCATGATTCTATTCCCGTTTGATTCCTTGCAACAGCTTTCAACTGGAAAATGGCTAAAATCCCAACAGACAGTGCAACACCCACAGCTAAACCCAAAGCAAATAATGTTATCATTAGATCAGCTATGACGAACAAAACGCTTGATTGAAATCTTCGCAAAAGTAAACTAGGAAACTGAAATCAAACGAAAATGCTTACATTTTATGAAGACCAGCATTTTTAACATAAATTTAGTACTCATGGATTTTCGTGCAAACCAAATTATATGTAAAAAGAAACTATAATTAACCGTGGGCATGGGTCTTTTTCCACGAAAATCACTTACGGATCTTGAAAAACCATGAACACAACTTCGTAATTGGAAAAAAACAATGTCACCACAAGTCACGACTAATCTACCAAAGGAAGTTAGAAACACTGATACCACCAAAACGTTCACGCCATATCTATATCCTCTCAAGAGACTAATGCATGACTTATGGAGTGAAAAATGTAGCTGGAATAAGACAGTACATATTAGTTCTGCCACTGAAAACCAATTACAAGCCGCATCTACTTTTTAAATACAGAAAAAGTGGAATGAAAGCGTGTTAAGAGGGTAAGATTAGCTTTTAAAGCACATCAACACTATAAAACAAGCTCCTTACGAGTTATAGGTCACTGTTCACCACCCCTAAACAAAAAAATGATATGAGTACTCAACAGCTACCCGAATGATTCAGAGAGCTAAAAACTACATAAGTATCCCTGAACACTCCAGATATATTGCCTTGTTCCACCAGTACCAATGTGATACTTAAAGAAGGTATAACATAAAAAATTTACTAGTCTCATTAGCTATTGAAGATTCACCATAAAATTAAAATACGGGCCATGAACTATATATTTTATGAATTTTCACTAAACATTTTTTCCTCAATATTACCCACTCGGATTTATATACAGAAACAAAACAATTATGCTATATAGGTGTTCAGCCTTAGCCTGGAGAATGCAACACTAACTGTGGAAACCCGTCTTGATGATACATCTAGAATCTTAGTTTGATGAAGACAATGATCTCTTGAAATAATATCTCTTCAAGAACCACTTTTATCTAATCTAAATCCATTTTCAAATAAGGAAAATTATTGTCGACGTTATCGACTATCACCGTCATCTCAAATGTGAGTTGGGACACATAATACTTCCATTAGCCACCATTGGTATCATAATTTGAAAAACTGATGCTTCACTTGGTCTATTTGATTAAATTATGTTCAAAAGTTCATCCGATATCGATTGGCCTGACAGTAACTGTTTTAACTTGTAATTTAAGAAACTAGTTAAACATTTATGTAACCTAAACCTCAGAAATTCGCAGTACATGATTTCGGTAACTGCAGTTTGCTTATATGGTTTTTTAGTACTATTACAAGCAATGTCATCAGTGCACCCTTCAAAAACCAAGTTCTGGCAGAACATTACAACTTGTAACATGTTATTGTCCACCAAGATAGTGAAAGCTTTGCGAATAAACCATGGATTCCAGAGAATGCGGCAATATTCAGATTTCTTGAGTCATGAAACTAGAACTCACTTTCATTCAATCTAAAGTCGTACACACTGATGAGCTTCAAGAACATGTAAACGCAGAGACTTGCTGCCAAAATTTTATACATGTTGACGAGTCTATACACTTACATTTGAGCACCTGTTTCAGCCAGCTTGCGGAAGCACGAATACCCATGAAAATTGGAGATCTAATTCAGGTTTCTTTTATAATCCATAAAGACTGAGTGGTAAAAACCTCAATAAACATTATTACTGGAGAGCTGCTTAGTTAGAAAAACCTAGTCGTTGAACAAATTTTAGCCTACAAAAATAAAGTTGTAATATCACAAAGAACCAAACTAAATAGATGATAAGAGTATCCTGTGGAAATTTCATTCATAGTTTGGTTAAATTTTATTTTCTATTATTCAACCAAATCGTGAATGTAAAATCTACACTGATCATCTAAATCTGACGAAAGTTATCACGGCCGTGAAAAATCTGGAAAAGGAATAGGGAATATGTCAATATGGACTGTTTTGAAGAACGATCTTCACGAATTACAAGTAATAAGAATGAAGATCTGAGTTTATATGTAACCCTTTCAGAGTGATATTACCCATCGATTGATTCAGTTAACAAAAGATATAAACGCTAGTTAGACCACAGAGAAATTATTTTAATTGCCGTAGGCACTTGGGACTGTTGTCAGTCTCTTACAGCAATGAGTTTACAAGCAGGGGAAAACCTTGAAAGATATGGAGTCACCGATTTATTTCCCTAATCCGAAGGATAGATGGCTCCGATTAAAACAGAATTAATGTCTTTTACACGGGGTATATCGATCTGTGACCAGAGAAATAATGAAATAAATCAAAACTTACGATTGCTGGACTTTGATATATAGAAAGCAATAGTGCTATACAAGAGGTGATGCATCCGAATGGAGCAAACAACAAAAATATCAAAAAATATTTATGGTTAAGATGACCGCAACATGTGTTTATCCAGGGACAATGATGGTCCATTTTCATTATGCACCGGTTGCAAGCTCGACAATGATGGGCTCGTGGGGGCTTAAAACCTCTACAAACATTACAGAACTGAAGCTTCTGTTCAGCTGAAGGGTCACACTAAAAAAGAAACAGAAAATCAGCGAAAAATAAACTACAAGATGTGTAGTAAAAACAATGTACAAGAACTTAGAACACTTACGAACTTCTGTCTTCCAGATCCAACAGTAATAATGATCGGGAAACCATGTCCTACCCCACAACTATTGTCTCAATAGTAAACTTGTTTATCCTAATATTTTCTTAATTTGATTTAGGCTCAAATTGTCACAACTACAAACACAATGTAACAAAATTCATACGAAGTATAAGTCATCAAGCCAAAGGATTTACATCTGTCTTTTTAAAACATAAATACTAATACGAATATGAACTAAAATAAATATGCGCCACACGATAAGGAAATGAATTTGTGAAGAGATGGAGGATGGTTGTGGAGTACAATCAAAATAAATAAACAATAATATTTCAAAACAGGAGACCGGTTATAAAAGATATAACCAATAAAAATTCTTTCGGCCAAAGGAGTCCCCTTTACTTTTATAAAGAACACGGAAGAAAACTATAGACGGATCACTCCTATTCTTAGTTATATCTGATAACTTCTCGAGTCAATAAACGGTACCATTTCTAGGACCACAACCAGGGAGTCGTGACGGACCGAAAAATGTCCTCAACGAACAATCCCGGAGAACAGACCTGTCTAACAGATCGAAGACAGGCCTGATATCAAGAAGCACAATGGTTGGCCCGTAATAAGTAAGGTGGTATTCCAGCATTTGGAGGAGTATAAATATATAAGCAATACAGCCAGGACAAAAAACACTATTCTCCTCGAGATTCGATTCTTTACGGACTTGGAACAATCTGCGAATTACGATAGACGTCAATAGTTCAGACGCAATTGATATAAGATTTATCCACCCATAATTGTTGCATAGATTACGTAAGCTTTTCTTTAAAGATAGGGACGACCGCTGTCTTAGTCCAAGATATTAGAACATTATATTTCTTAAACTCTAAAACGGAGGTCAGATAATTTTCATTTGCCTTGTTTATCAAAAGAGTATAAAATGGAAGCTAATAAATGAAAAATACAGGTCATTATTCATTGCACAAACATTTCGGAATCTCACCACAGTACTAAATTAAATGAGTATCTACTTTCCGCCCGTTTGGTGGTACCTACATTCAACAAGAATGAACTGGAGGATCGTCTATTCTTTCCAACTTGGTTCTATACCTACGTCAAAGCGACTGCCAGAATTTGATGTCCGGTATTCACATACAATAAGGGTAAAACTCTGATTTCTTCGCACAACCAGTGAGTAATGACGCTAGGATTCTCAGTAAAAACTTTAGGAACACATTATACATCTATGGTATGAGGTTCCGGTCTCGGCTAGTGGGACTTGTTGCTTGACATATGTTTGTACGCTGAAAGCTCTATGTAGTTTGGAGTGTGGTTCTGGAGAACCCGAGATACGATTACATGAACTCAATTCGTTGGTGATACAACGCCCAATGATTGGGCCTAAGTCAGTCCTTCATTGACTGAATAATAAGCGATATGCAATCTAATTTTCTCTAGTTGCTAATGAAATATGAGGTCTACTTTATATTTACATATTGTGTATAAGCACATCATTTCGCGGCACTACTTTATCCATCTGACTAGTCGTCTTGTCTTTGATTTAGAATTGTTCGGTGGCTTGGGTTAATAACACGGTCTCGCGAGTAATTATCAATCAGCCACATCACATCATTGAGTTTACTTATCGATAATCATCCTAATCATTGGTTTTACTAATTAAAAAATTCGCCAAACCAAATTATCGAAAATCTCCAAAACGCTTCGATACCGCGATAAGTGTGAAAGAAGTAGATGACAGTAAGAGGAAATATAAGGAAGTGAGACAGCTTTGTTGTGAATAAGATTAGCCGGCGAGACTAAAGAACATGGACGAGCCAATCAGAAGCTTTCGCGGGTTTTCAAGGTCACGGCACTAAGTTCGGTACCTGACGCTTACGTACGGTCAGTTTACAAAGAATTTTAGAGAAAACATGATAACTAAGCGACTACAAGATATGTTACCATTAGGTTTTGGCGCAAAATTCAATTATATATTTGGATTGAGTTGTGGCATTATAGCTGATGTCAGTTCGTGATGAAAACCCTAAGTAAAATTCATAACCTTAACCATGAACTGTAAATCATAATTTGAATTCTTCACACCGGTTTATAACCCTCATTTAGTCTTAGTTATTACGTTGACACTCTCAGATTCACTCTAGCGTCGCTCAAATGTCGTCCATTATTTATAGTCTCATCTTTAACCCTAATCCTAAACCCTAAACCATAACAACATACCGACAACACTGAAACTATGTGGTTGAGGCTGAAAGAATTTTCGGGACTTTATCATGGTTCCAGATGTCGACTAATATGGAGCCTCAGGGATGAGTTCCTGTGCCGGATGCACTATGATTTTAGAACTTCTGAACCTATATCTGACCTTGATAAGTTTTTGATACATGTAAAAGAACAGTATCCCCTTTAATTTTTGAGTTTTGTATAATATATTTTTATTGTATGCTAACTGTCTTCTGATTGGCCAATATTTCTCAAGGTCATTTAAGATTCGTTCAAAGGTCGTCCATGTTCTTTAGTCTCGCCTCCCCACATTTTATGCATCGCTACTTCTACAGTGATTTTGACTTTCTTCAAACTTAAACGAGAACTACAAGTAATTGGTTTCTTGTGGAATCTATCTTGACACAGCTTCCCAAAGTTTATCATATTGCTAAAAAAGGAACAGATAATGCTTCGACTTACCGGCCTCCAACCCAGAGGGACAAATCCTGGGCCAACAAATACGGCACAAAGGTAAGACTTCAGAATCATATAAAAGGAACTAAATATGCACGTAGATAGAAAGAGACCAAGAAGTGATGAACAGGGAGGGGCAACATGTAAGGTACTGTATAAACTCGTGAGTGTAATAAAAAATATAATCCAGATCGTAGATACGGGACCCCAGTGAAGTAAACGCTTCAGTTTGTCACGAAAGACGGAACAGACAGATTCATTCATCATGCAAGGTCAGACCTCCTCAAAGTCGCCCGCCGTTTCGTTTCAACGACCTTGAAAGGCCTGACAAGAGGCGGTCATTCCGTATGTCAAGTGCTGTGGGTTTGTTGAGTGTCCGCAAAAGTGTTTTCAGTTGAAAGTTTAGCCAGATCTGCGCATGCATTCCGATTGATTCATTTTTCAAAAATTTGTGGATGGAATAGAAGCGTTCGCTTAGCGATCTTCGGTATATAGTATCAGTGATGCCTGCATGTAGAAATCTTCGTAGCTTTGATGATTAAAAGAGAAATATTAATTAGCTATAGCGAAATACTGTTGTAGAAGTAAATAACCCCCAAAATCACCAGCTCTTTAAGTCCTCGACATTTGATACTGATCTTATTAGTTTCACTGGACTCACCTGTCTCAAAGCGATTGGTCAGACATCCACGTCACATCACCAGTGTGTACTTTGTGCCACTCATCCCTTTCAACTACTAGACAGCTTAGAGCAAATGTTCCTTAGAAGTACCAGTAGTCTTTCAAATATATATTCGTAGTCCTTCATTCATGACTTCTTATTTGACTCGGTTGGTACAATTCAGATATAAAGTGTTAATGGTTAAGGCGCCATCAAACTTCGGATACCTACGGCATCTTTGGTGATGAGACCAACGTGACGTGGCACACAAATTCTAAAAAACTATCAGTCTGTTCCTTGTTAGAACATTCTATATTATCTCTTAATTGTTCTGTCCGCATATGGTAATATGGTTTTCACATTTTCTGGCATTTTCCCCGTTCATTGCTATACTCTATAATCATCATGACGGAGCAGAACCCTTAGAAAATAATATACTCTTTCGCCTTCCGCATTTCAGCTAATCCCATTCTGGCCCGACAATATAGAAGCCTGACTTCCATGAAAACGAAGTGACAGACCAATGTGCGTAATTTCATCACAGTAGTGAAAGCCCTACCGCGTGATTTCAACTGCTACGTCACACCCAGTATGTTTATCAGTAATGTTTCTCAACCCTACGACACTTCAACGAAGTCTATCTCTAAACGTAAAGACCTAACTAACCGACAAAGTTTGGATCAAATTTTCCTCAACATGGAGTTGCAACACAGCTCAGCAACAGAGATGTTGCTGCGTATGCAAGAATTCATTGGCCAATGAACCCTTAAAGAAGGTGTGTTTAGACAACCTTTCTTGTCTAAGCTTCCTCAACAGGTTCAGGGAGTGCTTGTCTCATTTCAAAATAACGCTGTAGACAAACTGGCTGCATCTGCCGACCGAATTCCGGAGATCATCAGAACTTCTGACGTCGTATTTTCAGTCAAAGAAAAACCTCTGACGACACGAAATGACGCTACGGAACTCTTTCATATGCTGACACGTTACCTTAGTATTCGTCATAACCGTAGACACTCCCAAACTCCTGGAAGAAATACTTCACGAAAACGATCTGTCTCTAGATTACGAGAGACAGATAACCCCGATTTGTGCTGGCTTTATAATAAATATGGAAAATCTTGAGATCACAAAAAACCCTGCAATTTCCCGAACTCCAAACAATCTGACATGAAAAACGCTCTGGGAAACTTTCCAACCGGAACGCGTTAACGGCAACCGTAGCCGGTGATCATAGCCATCTGTCATACGTCACTGATGTGACAACGAATGTTCTGCGTTCTGTTGAAACTGGCACAGAAGTTAGCGTTCTTCCAGGGAATTCTAAAGACCGACTGCGAGGATATGTTTTCAACTTACAAGCAGCAAATTGGAAATCAATTTTCACATGATAATAATATGTAGTAATATTGGTCTTAACCACACAATACTCAAAGCTGAACTTCAGACAACTGGGAAAATGGATATTCAACATTTAACACGGAGGAAAGTCCAACAATGAGCTACCAGTAGCACCTTCTATAATCGAAACCTTCTTGGTTAAGGGAAATCAGAAGTCAGACGAGAAGAGGTAGGAAAGATATATTTGATACGTTATCAATATATCGAGGAACGTTTATTCTAAGCTGACTAGTGAACGTAGGAGCAGTGTCCCACGCCGAGTTGAAACGTGATCTGGTACGGATGCATGACCGAAAGCCTTCAGTTAAACAAGTCCACTTATACAACGTGGTCAGCATCCAATGTCGAACACTTAATGTGTTATTGATTTTAGGGAATTATTTACAGCTACAGCAGGAACATTCATTTGAGAATCAATCGGATGGCATGACTCAGCCTTGCAGGTGTGATCATTCTCTTATAACATATCTCTTTTACTCATATTAAATATATTGCACTATCTCCAGCTTAAATGTTTTCTTTACGAACTCCATACATATCGCTGACGGTCACGATACGACGAGTCAGTGTAGACAACGATGGAACTTCGACGATGGATCGGATAGTTCAGGAAGTCACATTATGACATATCTATCATGTTATGATGAGGCCTATCATTGTAATACTAATAATAACGAACCAGATCACGACAGCCTATTACATGTGGCATGCCAGTTTACAGGCAAGATCAAATTGTTATTAGAGATAGATTTCACTGTAGTGGATTACCCAGTTAGGTTGATGTTTCATCTGGTATATTGGACATAGAATTATGAGGAAAAACACTTCTCACATATCAGTGTAAATAATATTGGTAAGGCTCGTATTGTCAATATGAGAGTTGGCGAGCTTTATGGAGGTTGCGTTGAGACATGCAACTGATGGTCGAGAATGGAGTTGAGAGCTTCTAGTAACCGAAACTTCATATCCTTCTGAGACGTCTGAGCGAAAATGATGGTGCAGGACGAAGTCGACCGTTACATATGTGTTTCGATGACGTATCTCGAGGGAGACGAAAAAGAGGCTAAGGAAAACAAAAGATATGAAGCATTGTAGATAGTGTTCATGAATATTGTTGACTCATTTGTGGTGGAGTAAGCAAAATATGCCTGCTTAGCCTAATTCTCTCTTACAATAATAAAGGTCATAACTACTTCCAGGCACATGCAGAAGACCCCCGTCATGCTTACACTAACGTAAATGGCCATAACAGAGGCTACGAGCTTAACAATCAAAACTATTTTGCAAACGACAGTTCACTTTACAGTCAACCTGTACCATAGTTTTTTGGAACAAAGCCCCTAGTGGCACCCATGTTGAAGCATATATCCAAAGTCATTTCAAACCACGTGCGGAACATAAACTCGCTTCCCCCACACAGTTCCCATCACAGAGTATTCCCGCCATTTCCTCCTCGGCGAACTCTCCAAGCAACTTCACCTGGTTCATTTGGTATATCCACCTCTAACTATAGCTATCAAGATAACGAGCTATTAAAGAACAAACAATCTATCCCTTTAAACCCATATGAAACCCGTGAGGGTTATGACGACTTTCACTCATTTTAAATTAGTCGACCATTTGTTTAATATGTGTCTTATCGACGCTAGGTCGACCTGCAATAAAAAGGTATTTAACTCTGTTTGTATCCATATATCAACCATCGTTTATAATGATATCTGAAGCATGGACTAACAGTAATAATACCGACCTAATTATATCTCTTGATAACTATTTCCTATATAGAAGTGATGGATTGAAAGGACGAGGCGGAGGATGCTTAATTTACTCTCACTCTAGCTTAAACTCACTGTTATAGGATATGTCTGAACTAAACAAAGTGAAGGATTCGGTGTGCATTGTTTTAAAGCCGTCTAATTCCGCAACCTCACTGTTTAGTTGTGTCTGCTGTCAACCTAACGCACCAGTGGGTGAAATAGCAGTATTATCAGAGGTATTCACACTAGCATCATCCATTCCATCCATCTCATTTGTGGTGACTTCAACATGCCTGAAATTTCTTGGTTTCCAGTCGGGGCTCCGAAACGTTATGAATAATTTATTTAATGTCTAGAACCAGAACAATGGACTCAATATGTCGGTAGCCCTACCAGACATCAAAATATATTGGACTGGAGACCTAAGTTTTGTAAAGCTCTGTATATGCCAGCCTGTTCGCCAAGTCGTCTTCAAATACTTTGTATTATTATTATTCACAAACATCTCATAGGTACATAAGTGTTGTGAAATAACGATTTCGGGTTTCTCCAAAAATGCAATAATAGACAAGTTTCCATAATGTTAGCATTACAATTGCCATGTTTGAGAAAAAAGGATAAGGAAAATAAAATAATAATAATAATAGAGTAATAATAAATCCGGTTCTGTGTAATTGGCAAGAATTTTGAATTGATTTTAAAGAAGGAAAAAACTAAGGAAATAGAAATAAAGGAGACGCGGAATACACAAATAGCTTAACACAAACCAAGAATAAACGACTATGTATGTATGTATCAGAGCACCAATCAATCCACTAACCTAAAGCCTAGAGCCATTAATAAGTATGGTAATAATAGGTTTCTCACCCCACATACTATCTCTGTTTCCGAACAATTTAAAAAATAAAATAAGGAAATAAGGAAAATCAGAAAAAATAACAATAATAGTAACAATAGTAACCTTTAGTGCACTCGGATAAATAATAATAATAATAATTTATTCTCAAATAACAGTTTGTTACATGAGGCATGCCGGTTTACAGGCAAGATCAAATTGTTACAGAAGTTACAAATACATGTAGATTTATGTAACAGTATACAGAGTGAAACCGGGTATTAGTATAAACATTAGTGCAACAGTAATTTAGAATTATGCTATCATATTCACTATTAATTGCAAAGGATAATCAAATATAAATTTCTATGTATTATATATATATATATGTTATGAAGATAAAAAAAATCTGAAAATTTATTTGTTGAAGTGTGTCATTGCGTTTTTTGTTCTTAGTCGTAGACTTTGGATGTTTAGGAATAAAATATGTTTAGAAGGACAAGAAGAGATGAAAAGAATATCTAATGTGTCGAGAGACCAATAATGATATTAATAACAGTAATGATTATATATACGAACATAAGCAGACTTCATGTATTAGGATAAATATAAAATAAAATAGACGTGAAAAGTTTCCAAGGTTTCACTTTGCTTTTTAGTCAGT